GCTGCCAGTCTGAAGACTGACGTTTGTGTAATCCAAAAAGAGAGTCTTTGTGTACTAAACCCAAAGTTCAAACTTCAAAGTTAACCATACTTTTTTCAATTTTGTTTTTCTCTGTTTCTTTAGTATTGTGCCTGCTTTGCACTGTTTACAACTCTCCATGTCTGCTAGTTGAATGTGCTTGTTGATTTGCTGCAAGACAGGTGCTCTGCTGCCTGAACTACAAAGTGCAAAGCAGGTAAGTGCTCTGCTGCCTGAACTACAAAGTGCAAAGCAGGTAAGGTCCGGAAGACAGTCCAGAAGTGTCCGGTGTCCGGGTCCAGGGTTACCATGCAAAAAACAACGAACAAAAAGAACTCAAAAAGCACTATAAAACCCTATGCGGAGTAGCTTTCGGAGTGCGCAATAAATTTCTCTGAATTCAGTGTTTTTGCCAACTTCTTCATTACTAGTCCAATCACGTTGAAACTGAATACAGATATTAATGTACCCTAAAGCACATATATCGTCACAAATAGAACTGCCCGGTAAACCGTAGGCAGAGAGAGAGAAGAGGACAACAAACGAGGGGCTGTGACAAACTGTTTCGTCGGAGTTTCACCGACTCATATATATATATCACAACACAAAAAAATAAAAAAATAAAAATTCAGGGAAACATGGCAGTTTCGGTGAAAATTTGGCCGAAAATGACACCAACTATTAACCATTAGTAGAGGAGGATCAGGCGGGGCAGCAAAGGGGTGGGTTCTACAGGCAGCAGAGGACGCCAGCACTACAGATACCATGGTGTAATTTGACGACTCTCGCAGCCTCTTGATTGGCTACTCGTTACCAGCGAGTTCGACGGACGGCCATAGCCACCACCATAGCTGGAGCTTCGGGGGATTCTCCAGAGGAGGATCAGGAAGACAGCAGCGGGTTTTCACGGGTAGCAGAGGAGGCCAGCTGTACAACACGCATCAGGGAATGAGGTCGTGCCTCCACAGCTGCTCGTTTGGTATTTCCATCACCACTTAGCTTCACGTTCAAGGTGGCAGTGGCCAAGTTTCTCGTTCACGGCGGCCATAGCCATGGTATATTACATGACCGGTCTGGAGTCAGGCCCTATTTCAGGACCGGCGTTGAGGGGGGACAGAGTTGCCCTGCAGCCATAGCTCCGTCTTCTCTCTCCTCCCTTCTCCTCGCTTCTTGGAGCGCTGAGCGCTATTTCGGTTAGACAGAGGAGACGGGTGATGGAGAGGTGGTTTCGCTGGCCTACTCACTGGGCGTGTTCACATTGTACTTTGGGGACTGATGTGGAGCCACATAGGGATTCCTGAGCTTTGGGTGTGCACCACTCTCCTTTTTCATCATTCACTTTCTCCCCCACAAATCATTCATCTCCGACTGAAAAAAAACAAAAAAAAAAACAATGTGTTCATGTCCACAAGTCTTCTGAGCTTTGGGTGTGCACCATTGTGTCCTTTTTCATCATTCACTTTCTCCCCCACAAATCATTCATCTCTGACTGAAAGAAGATTAATTGCTATTTTAGCGAGTGAGGAGGCCGAAGATGGAGAGATGATATTGCTCCCCGACTTACTGGACACGAACACTGTTTTTTTTTTTGGCTTTTATGTGTGTGTGTGTGTGTACTTTGAGATTGATGCGAAGACAGAGAGGAGCCGTGAGGATCAAGCGAGTACTTTGCTCCTTTTACGTCGCTCATTTTCTCTCACGCAAACATTCCTTCCTCTCAGAGTCAAAGACGACGGCTGTCTTCTACGTGCGAGAGTCTCCCTCCTATCGCTGGTAACAGTGATGAAGATGTTTTTTGTGACAAACTTCTGATTCCGTTTTATTTTTATTTTTTTTCTGATACACTTGTGATCCTACTCCAGTATATATTGCGCCTGATGTCAGAGTGAGCCCATGAGAGTCAGCAGTCCTGTGAATGTTAGTGCTTTCTTTGCGTCTTCTGCTGCTGCATATCCTTTGCTTCTTCCTGCATTGCTAATCACCATCCTCCATTCACATAACGGAGGAGATCTTCGGCTTGGGAATTAGCCTCAGCAGTGTGTCCGGCCTTTGGCGCTTTGACCGTGCAACAGGGAGAAGAGGTGGGCGATGGGCAGGCGGAGCAGGAAGAGGGGAGGGAAGAGTCGCAGTGTGGAGAAAGAGGAGTGAGGGGAGGGGGGAAGAAGAGAAGGGCACAAGTGAAGATGGGAGAAGAGGGGGGCGATGGGCAGAAAAGGTGGGAGGGAAGGTGGTGCAGAAAGAGGGGAAGGAAGGAAGAGTCGCAGTGTGGGAAAAGAGGAGCGAGGGGAGGGGGAAGAAGGGAACAGCACAAGTGAAGATAACGAGGCTTCGGAAGGAGAGGAAGGAAGCAGAGGAGGAAGTGGAGGAAGTGGAGGAGAAGAGGGAGAAGAGGGAGAGGAGGAGGGGACGAGTAGGAGCAGGAGTGATATGGAGCAGAAGAGGAGAAAGAGGAGGAGGTGGAAGGATGGAGGAAGGCGAGGAGGATGGCGACGGGAACGAGGAGATGAAGAGGGGAGGACGGATGGGGGCGGTAAGTGGTGGAGGAGAGGGGAGAGACATGAAGGGCGGGGGAGAGAAGACGGAAGAGGAAGATAGGTGAAAGAAGAGGAGGAGAAGGGACGAGGAGGATGGAGGAGAGGGCCAAGGTGGGAAGAGCGCAGGGGGGGCAGGAGAGGCGAATAGGAGGAAAGGGAGTGGGAAAATTGGAACAGGGATGGATGGAAGTAGACGGGGCAGGGGGGAAACCTGGGGAAGTAGAAACGAAGATACAGAGAGTGGCCAGGGAAAGAAGGAAGGGGAAAGACAAGGGGGAGAGGAAGAAGCGCAGAGGGGGGGAAGGCGGGGGAAAGAACAGGAAAAGGCGAAAGAATTGGAGGAAAGGAAGGAGGAGTGGGAGAGGAGGAGGCAGTGAGAGAAGAGGGGGGAAGGAGGGTAGAGGGAGGGAGAGGAGAAAGCGGTGAAGGGGAGGAGGGAGAACAGAAGGCAGAGACAGAAGAGGATGAAGGAGGGGGGAAGAGGAGGAAGGCGGGCAGGGGGACGGGAAGAGGAGGCATGAGGGAAGGGGGGAAGGGAGGACTAGGGGAGGATGAGGAGCGGAGGGGAACGGAGAGGGGGGGAGGTGTGAAGAGGCGAGGGGGCGTGGAAAGGAGGAAGGAGAGGGCGAAGAGGAGGATAGAAAGGGAAGACGAGGAGGAGAGAGGGGTACAGAGGAGGAGGAAGGGGGGAGGGAAGAGGACGAAGGGGCAGTGTAGCACAGTAGGAGAGCGAAGAGGAGATAAAGAACAGGTGAAGAGCATAACAGGGCGAGGAAGAGGACAAGACAAGGCGGGAGGCGATCATCAGGTTTTCAAGGAGAAGAGAGAAGGGGAGGAGAAGAGAGGGCGAAAGGTCGAGAAGAAGAGGGGGAAAAGGGAGGCGGACGGGGGAGAAGAGGAGGGAGGAGAAGTACGTAGAAGAGGACGAGGAGGAGAGGAGACAACGAAAAGGGAGGAAAAGCGGGAAAGGGGGAAGGGAAAGAGGAGAGGGAGGGAAGAGGAGGTAGAGACCGACGAAGAGGAAGCGTGATGCCTAAGAAGAACATGAACGCGGAGAAGAGTTGCGCCGCCAGGGAGCAACAGGAAGAAAAATGAGCAGCAGCACGACAAGGAGGAAGGAACAAGAGCAAGAGGGTGCTGCAGGGGGGGCACATGCACAAGAAAAACAGGAGCGGGGGAGAAATGCCACAAAAGCAAAGTAGGAAAACTACAAGAATGAAACGAAAAAGCACCCAAGGAAAAGGTAGAAAGCTGCAAGAATGTGAAATTTAAGGGGTTTGTTTGTAAAAAAATACAAGGGGTCTGTTTGTAAAATCTAAGGGGTCTATTTGTAAAATGTAAGGGGCCTGTTTGTGAAATGTAAGGGGTCTATTTGTAAAATATAAAGGGTCTGTTTTACAGGATCAGCAGGGGGTGTTCTTCCTGCCATTATTTATCGACTGCTAATCTCAAACACACAGATGGCTTCGGATCGTGATCCCACACACACTGTCCTCACCGACTTCTGCTACTGCATTCCCCTGAAGAATTGTATTGACAAGAAATCCATGAATGCATTGACAAGAAATCGCACACACGTCCTTCGAGGACATCCCTTCTGAGAACTGTACATGCGGAAGTGAAGTGTCTGTCAATGGTTGCATGTACGAGAAGCACCCTATGGCCACTGTTTTCACTATTCTCCTTCTCCTTCTTCTTCTTCTTCATGTGCCTCTTTCTTCAAAGTTCAGGGCATGCGGAGTCGATTGTAATACTATGGGAGCATGTACGCAAGACAGTGTTGGCCTCTGTTCATCACTATCCTTCTTCTTCTTCTCCTTCTTCTTC